TGTGTATATATATATATATATATATATATATATATATACACAAACCGAAAGGTGTATAAATAGAAAAGTATAGTATACATAATGGTAAAAGTATTTGATGATATGTAGACTTTCTTCTTCTTTGTTTTGAAAAATGATCAATTCATATTACTACACAATAAGGGGTAGGACTAGATAAGTTGTTTATTTCTTCCTACTCCTTTGAGCATACAACTGATGATGTGTGTTTTTCTTTTACATACTTTTTAAATTTTCCTTTCATAAATTTTGCTTGCCTTTTGTCAATCTGTTATTGTGTGTTCTATATATGCTCAATAAACAATAAACAAACAATAAACAAACAAAGAACTGATCTCGGCTGGAGTATTGTAGGAAGAGCAGCACAATGTGTAAATGCAGGAGATGAGACAAGTGTTTGTCTTCGAGTATCTGTCAAAGAATTACCACCCAAAACACCATCATCCATCATTGAAGTTCTGAAGTCTGATCCTGCAAACACAAAAGCAGGAGAAAAAAAGCATATCTCAAGACGACGTTCTCTTTCAGCAAGTATTATAAGGAGGCCCCCAACAAAATGAGCATGGCCATTGTGAAATGCCTGTTTCTTTCAAAACACACCCTCACCTACCAGACAACAAAGTGCTGGCTTTGGCATGACAGAAGCGATTTAAAAGAAAGCTGGACAGAGAAGACAAGTTCAGAAGTGGCTGTCTGAAGTTTATGAAGAGTACTTTGAAAGATGATGATGCAGAGAACGTTGACTCCAACTCGAAACTCGTAGAATACCGGAAGGAGGTGCACTTATTTGGAGTGTCATCTTCCCTTGGCTGTGCCAACGATGCCATGTGTCTTGCCATTCATAATGAGAAACAGTTTCCCAATGCAGCTAGTTTCATGAGTAAGAATTTCTGTGTTGACGACAGACTCATAAGCGTGGAGTCAGTTGCAGAGGTGAAAGACCTTATGAAAGAAGCCCAACCTCCGTGTGCAAGAGGAGACATACCCTTCCACAAATTCCTTTCCAACAATCAAGAAATGCTCAATTCAATCGATGTAGCAGAATGTGCTGAGGACACAAAGAATGATGATTTCAGGCCTGATGACTTACCAGTGCAAAGAGCGCTTGGAATAAGTTGAAAGATCAAAAGTGACAGTTTCTCCTTCAAGAACAAAAGACCCCCGACACGAAGAGAGACTCTTTCCATTGTAGCCTCTTCGTACAACCCTCTCGGTTTTCTAGTCCCATTCATCTTTGATGGAAAGTGGATACGACAAGAGATGCGTCAGGGTGGTACAGGATGGGACGACCCATTATCTATGGACTTGAAGTTAAGGTGGGAGACTTGGCTAGAGGATTTGGAGAACCTCGATAAAAGTGAGAGTCCAAGATGTTTTATACCAGACACGATTGGCAAAGCGAGAGTGGTTGTAGGTTATATTGAAAATGAAGCCAAGCAATTCCATGTTTTCATCGCAAATCGGACCCAGAGAATTCGAGAAAATAGTGATGCGAATCAGTGGCACTACATTAACACAGAAGACGAACCTGCAGACCATGCCTCCAGAGTCCTGAGCGTAGCGGATCTCATCGACTTAAATTGGCTTGTCGGTCCAAAGGTTTTATGGGAGAGAGAAAAAGCCACAATCGAGGTGATTCCTGAGCCACTGGTGGGAGATCCGGAGGTTAGGATTACACAAGAGTTTGAAGAATGAAAAAAATAAACTGAGTCGATGTGCAAATTTGAAATTCAAGAGCCTCTGTTACGACTGTCAAGATGAAGACAAGTGTGAAAAGTAACTGTACATGAGAGAAACAAAGGGAGAAGTTAGGAAAAAGGTAGAGCGCCTCAATAAGCCTTTCGTCGTTCAAGATCCACACAGAAATTAGCGGTTCTATTTGAAAGTAAAGTAGAAAGAATCAGACGCTAATTAGACATATTTAAGTTAGACAAGTTAAGGTGTCAAATATTCAATCTAGAATAGGCCATTTTTTTAGAAAACGTAAATTCCATTGTTTGTTTGAATGACATATTAATTTGTCTGGTTTATAAAGGACACATCAGAACAAGGGTGAAATTACTGTTGATTATTTTCAAGTGTGTAAAGTAATTTTTCATTTACAAATGTTACTCCAACGGTAATTTGGTGGGAGTGTACCTGGCACCGGTACTGAGTGAATTGGTTGCCATGACAACAAAAATATAATTTATTTAGGCTTGTTGTTTTGTAAAAGTGCTTTGTATTTCTATGTGAACTTTCATATTTGTTTTTTCTTTAAATCCTCTTGATGTGTGATATGGGATATTTGTTAAGAATCACTTCCAGGTCACGTGCCGTGGATAGCGAGGAATTGAAAAGATCGAGAAGACAATTTAGAGAGAAAGAGAGAGAGAGAGAGAGAGAGAGAGAGAGAGAGAGAGAGAGAGAGAGAGAGAGAGAGAGATACCGTGTGGTCAACGTTATTTAATTTTATCTACTTTCGGTTTACCAAGGTGCACACGGTATGTCATTTTGTGCTTATTTATTTAATGTCTTGTTAAAGATATTGTAACGTTGATTGTTGTTTAAAATGTGTTTTAGTTTTCACGGTGTTCCAGGATTAAACGTTTTTTTGGACATCAGTACAAGGCGTCATCCTTGACCGGGGTAGATACAGTGTGGATCATGTTTCACTCCCATTCCATCACTGCAGCTCAGAATAACATGAGACACCTGTATGATACAAAAGAAATAATTCACACATTTCATCCTATCATCCAACTAAATAACAGAAAATACTCCAAAGTCAATTTTTGTTACAATACCGAAATGCACCTTAATCTACTTTTAATATTTCATTATACACACAACAAGCTCATGAATTGACATTAGCCATGACGTTAGCTCAACCAAAACAACTTCAGCCTTAAGTTAGCTCATTTGTGCCATGGGTTACATGGAAAACTTAAAACTTACAATGAAATGTACTGTATCACAAGCCGATTGTCGAGTAACATCGAAAGCTAGCAAATGTATACAGGATGATATGGTCACAGGACTTGTTGCGACTTAACTGCGAAAACAAAAATCATCCTGGTGAGAATTCAGATGCTGCTTGATTTGTGGTATTTTTTCCACCCAGTTTGCGGCCGCATTCATCGTTTCCGCAATCTACAGTACATTGTGCTTTTCTTTCTGCTTCGTTGTACATGAAGTGTGTCGCCTATATCTTTCCTTTGTTTCTGACCACCAAGCCCCTTTAACACTGTCACCCATGGTACAGCAATAGAAAGCCGGACACGGCGTGACAAATGCCCACAGATGTGTTGTGCCGGTGGTGGGCGTGAGCAAACAAGGATAGGTTGCAGCAGCATTGTTATTTTTTGACAGACAGATAACATGCACAATAAGAAGAGATGTCATGCATTTTGAACGTCTGATAGACCACACACTCACGAATCCGTCCAGCCTCGCCTCATCAACGAAAACTCACATACATCACGTCATATTTTCGTCATCGAAGAGTCACTTTTAGCTCGCCATCGTCTCGTTATTGTCATGGAAAAATAGGGCGTTAACGAAATAATTTCATCATCGTCATCGTTGATGAACACACTTGTACCAAACCTAAACTGCTGATCGCAGAATCTGCCGTTAGACTCTTTCAAGGATTCTTCTGGGATCCATCTCACAGTCCTCCATATCTTCAAAACTGGACCCCGTATTGTTGATTTAACTTTGTAAATATATTGTAGGAATGAACTGTGTCCACTGATAATGATTTTCTAGCGTGACAATAACCATTTCACAAAAATGCTGGTTTTTAATTCAGTTTCATCAGAGGGACTGAAGTTTATGGGCATGCAATGTTGGTTTTTGGCCTTGCCGCTTACAGGCACAGATTTCTCCAGATTCCCTGAATAGTTTAATGATTTCATAGAGTGTTGATGATGAAATCCCTAAATCCCTTGCAAATGCATGTTGAGGAGTGTTTTGAGAATGTTGGGCTATTTGTTCATGCACTCGCTCACAAACTGGTGAACCTTTGTACATGATAGCTTGAAAACAACTGAGCCTTTCTGGCAGGCACAGCTCCTGGGCTTTTTTCTCTCCTGGTGCTAAAAAGGGGCTTGATCTTATGGAGTGAATGTATTTTCATATATATATATATATATATATATATATTTTGCAGGGTTGAGGCTGGGTCATGAATTCTTTTAGCCAATGTGGCTAAACTCTTTAAACGCCAGGACATTGCATATTTATGTGGGGGCGATGTCACCTGTTTCACCTGCTTGCTAGGTGCACCCTTCAATACACACATTAGAAAATTAGTAAAAGACCGGAAAGACATTTAAAAACTAATAAAACCTCAATCCTAAAGCACACAGGGAGCTATGCAGCTATTTGAACACCGGTGTGATGTGTTCCCGCCCTCTGTTCCTTGTCAAGACTCGTGCAGCTGAGTTTTGGAGTATTTGTAAAATAAGAAGATTCTTTTTAGGAAGACCAGAGAGCGGGGCATTACAGTAATCCAAGCGACACAAAATAAAGGCATGCATCAGCACTTCTGTGTTGGCCTGAGAGAGAAACGGCTGGACTCAGGCTATGTCCTGGAGATAATAAAACCCAATCTTAGTTATGTTTTTAATATGAGAAATAAAACTAAGCTCAGAGTCAAAACTGACGCCCAAGTTTTTTACACATTGTGAGGGTATAAGACATTGTAGTTTGGGTCAAAGTTTCTCTCTCTGATCTTCAGGTCCAATAACTGAAACTTCAGTTTTGTCCTGATTGAGCTATAGGAAATTCCCTGCTATCCATGACTTAATGTCTGATATACAATTTAAAAGGGTATCAATTGGCCCGTGTTGTCAGGAGACATGGCAGTATAGCTGTGTATCATCAGCGTAGCTGTGGAAGCTGAAAATTAAAAAGTATTGGGCCTAAAATTGAGCCTTGATGAATGCCACATTTAATTTCATGGACTCTGGAGGAATGAGTATCCAAACTTACAAAATAACATCTGTCTGTGAGATAAGATTGAAACCAGTTCAAAACAGCACCAGTTATGTGCACCAGTATTTTAAGTCTGTTTAATAAAATGTGATCTACTGTGTCAAATGGAGCGCCCAAATCCAGTAGCACCAATACTGTTAGTGTTTTCATGTCTGCATTCCACCTGGCATCATTTAAAATACATAAAAGAGCTATCTCTGTACTTTGATTTGACTTTTTATTAGGTCTCCCATCGGAGAAACTTGTCTCGGAGGACAGTCCCTCTGTGCTGCTAGATACATTGAGCAAAAAACATACACATACACAGAACAACATATTTAGGACAATTACATACAAGACACTATACACTCCACACACATCGGACACTACATTACAGTCATATGCACCCCCTCACCACACTCATGTCCTTCCGCTTGTCTGTCTGCCTCCCTCTCATTGTTTATTGATTAAAATGATAGCCTGCGGTATGAATGAGTTTTTATACCGGTTTAATTTGCAGAGAAGAGTCATATTCCTCTTTCCTGAGTTTAGGAGCTCAAATTGGGAGTTTAGCACATGAGAAGGATTGTTTAAAATGTTTTTTGCCTGTTGAATAACGGACTGCACATATATGTCCTGGGGAGCAGGGGGTGGGGGCTGTCCTATTACCTTCCCTGCTGTCTTAACCAAGCTGGTTATCTGAGCCTTAGATTTAACAGGTTCCCAAACCAACTGGTTATTCCGAAGCGCAGGACTGACTCGATGCTTGCTATATAAAAAATTAACAGAATGCCTCTGCCAACTCCAAAAATCCTGAGACGTTGCAAAAAATGAAGGCGCTGATGGATCTTCGAGCAGACCTTTGATACATGTGTCTGCCAATTAAGCCCGCAATCGATATAAATCCCCAAGTATTTGTTAGAGACCTACCTGATGTTTGTGCCATTTATAAAGAATGGGCTGTGGTCTCCAATTGATTTAGGGTCAAACACCATTCCCGCAGTTTTTTCCACATTTATGCTTAGATGGTGCTCGTTACACCAGTCAACACAACTGTCAATCCCATCACAGTGGCTACTAATGCCAGAGTCACTCGTGAGCAGACTAAGGTTAGCTGTATCATCTGAGAATTTTACAACATACTGATTTGGTTGAGAGCTAACACAGTCGTTTGTAAATAAGGTGAACAGGAAAGGTGAGCTCACGCAGCCCTGTGGAGCCCCCGTGCTGCTCATGACCTCGATGACAATACAGTGTTAAATCTCACAAGCTGTGGCCTTTTTGATAAGAAGTAGTGGTATCACCTAATAAAAAATGGATTGACACTCAACCGAACCAGTTTCTTCAGCAATATGTCTGGACGGATTGAATTAAAGGCTGAGCTGAGGTCCACAAATAGCAGTCTGGCATATGCCCCCCTACTCTCAAGATGCCTCAAAAGAAAGTGCAGGATAGTAGACACGGCATCACTGGTACTACGATTTTTAGTGTAGGCAAATTGATATTGATCTATCGAGGCTTCCACCTCCCGACGTAGTTTCTCTACAATGATCTTCTCCAACCCTTTCATTACATTGGAGGTTAGGGCCACTGGTCTGTAGTCGTTGACAAGGTGTGGGTAGGGCTTTTTAGGGACCGGAATTATAATTGATTTCTTCCAGAGCTGTGGCACTGCTGTGTTTATCGACAGCTGGAAGAGAGGATGCCAGGCCGGTGTTAGTTCCTCAGCGAAAGTTTTGAATAAATAAGCAGACATGTTGTCTGGTCCCGTGGGCTTGTTTACACGCAGTGATTGAAAAACCCGGGTAACACTAGCTGAGTTGATTAACACCCTGTTATTAGAATCATAATGCAGACTGCATAACAACTCATTACACTATTTGGAAGTGTCAACTTCAAAGCGCATATAGAAATCATTTAATAATAATAATAATAATAATACATTTTATTTATAAGCGCCTT